TCCTTGGAAGAAAAGCTATAACAAACCCAGACAGCATATTAAAAAGCAGAGGCATTACCTTGCCGACCAAGGCCCATATAGTCAAAGCTAGTTTTTCCAATAGTCACGTATGGATGTGAGCTGGACCAGAAAGAAGGCTGAGTGCCGAAGAATTGATGCTTTTGAACTGTGATGTTGAAAAAGACTCGACAGTCCCTTGGACTGCAAGGAGATCAAATCAGTCAATTCTAAAGAAAATCAATCCTAAACATTCATTGGAAGGATTGATGCTGAAGCTGAAGCTCCAATATTCTGGCCACCTGATGCGAAGAGCCAACTCACTGGAAAAGACACTGCTGCTGGGAAAGACTGAAGGCAGGAGAAGGGGACGAGAGGAGTGGATGGTTGGATGGCATCACCAATTCATCACCAACATGAATCTGAGCAAACTCTGGGAGATGGTGAAGGACAGGGAAACCTGGCACGCTGCAACCCAAGGGGTTGAAAGAGTCGGACACCACTGAGCGACTGAACAATCGCACCCTGAAAGCTTCTAACACATGATGTTTCTGTAATCATCTCTGACTATTTCTTATTGTTGTTGTTTAGCTGCTCAGTCCTGTCTGACTCTTTGTGAACAGAGACCGTAGCCCGCCAAGCACCTCTGTCCATGGGATTCACCAGGCAAGAATACTGGAATGGGTAGCCATTTCCTGCTCCAGGGGATCTTCCCAACCCAGGGACTGACCTGGCATCTCATGCATTGGCAGGCTTCTTTACCACTGAGTCACCTGGAAAGCCCAATGTGGCCCTCATCTCCTGGCTTAAATGCTCAGCCAATCAGATCCTCTCTCCCCTAAGAACTGAAGGGAGTGTGCTGGTATTCTACTGGTCACCTGAACTGCGAGTGGCAAAATGTAGGGATGTCGCACTCTGCTATGACTGGACAAGAGTGCTAGTACTGGCCCCCAAGGCAGTCTCAAAAGCGGAAATGGTCAGGCAGCCTCTTAAGGGGCTACGGGAGGGGCCTCGTCAGGAAAAGCACAGGCACAGGAGTCACAGGCAGTGAGGTCTACATTCCCCAACTCTGGACCTTCTGCACAGGAGACACCAGCATTAGCCAGCAGTGACCTGCTCTGGTGACACGGGCTCCCAGGAAGTGGTCCCGAGTCACAATGGACAAAGATAAAGGAAATCCATGAGCCAAACATGCAACATTCAGACCTGCTGGCCATTTCCTCCGCAGCCAAGAATTCAGGCCACAAACCAAGGCCCGTGATTCTTCCCCGTCCTTTACTTCACTCTCCCTGTGATCATCAGACTATACTCTGAATCAGAAACCATTTAGAAAACACTTAATGTGTCTTCCTCTTTTCCTCCTTTCTAATTAGATTTTTTAGCCAGTTGTCTGGTTTTCCCCTCAATGCCATGTCATATAAGCAGGGTATTGTTTATCATTCAATTTAGTTCACGGAGTGCAGGAGGACAGGTAGGGGACACCTCGTGGACCTGAAGGAAACTGGACAGAGCAGTAAAGCTTAGGCTCTGAGGAGCGCGGACTCTGCAGTTAGACCTCTGAAGTTAAAAATCCCAGGTCTTCCAGTATCAAGCTGTGTGACTTCCGTCTGGTCATTCAACCACTCTGGGCCTCACTTTTTGTGAGAACCATTTAAATAAAGTATGTGTGTAAAGTTCTGAAACCAGAGCCAGGCACATAATAAGCACTTTATTATAACGGATATCTGCCACCATTATCATCGAGGTTTGCAATGAGGAGTGGGGAGAGCTACAGCACATCTTTAAGTGCAAAAGATGCTATTAAGCAGTATGGCAAAATCTGGGGTGATAACTCAGCATTTGCATAGCTCATACCCTCCTCACTTCTGAAAATTCTCCTGTTTCCTAAGGCAACCTGTGGGGGAGGGGCCATCTTCTAGCAAGTGCAGGGAGAAGCAAACACAGCTAATTTACAGAAAAAAATGATGAAGCTGACCCACAAAATAAAATGGGAGAGAAGAGAGGGCTGAGGGCCAGAGATGAGAGTGGAGGGTAAGAGAGGGAGACAAAGACAGAGAGAAAAATCTTGGTTTTCAACCACTTTTTCAGTTCCTGGTTCCACTCCAACCTATAAGCACTGACTGCCTTTTCTGCCCTCCGTGGTTGTTCAGTCGATAAGTCATGTCCTACTCTTTTGCAATTCCATGGACTGGAGTCTGCCAGGCACCTGTGTTCATGGCATTTCCCAGGCAAGAATATTGGAGTGGGTTGCCATTTCCATCTCCAACGGATCTTCCTGACCCAGGGATCGAACCTGCATCTCCTGCATTGCAGATGGGTTCTTTACCACTGAGCCAACAGGGAAGCCCTTTTCTGCCTTTCACCAATAAATTCTCCACGTTTTATTAAGCTGTGACCAACATTTGTAAAATGTCTAACACAAGTCTTGGAAAAGTTTTCATCAACAAAAAGCTTAGAAGAGGGCAAGTTACATATACCCATTAGTACACAAAAACTAAGACAATATTGCAGATACAAGTAACCACAAACTTCAGTATCCTCAATCCACCCTACATCTGATGCATTAATTTACACAGGTAAGGCTCAGGCCTTGTTGTTTCAAAAGCTCTACAGGTGTTATTAGCTCTACAGCTGAGACTCACCATTACACTTAACCATACGACCATCCTTTACCTACTAGGAGGTTCTGTGAATAAACTAGCATAATGCATAAAACGTATTAATATACTTTTCACCGGGAATTAAGTAATTTTCGAAACAGCTGGAGAGAAAATGGCAGGAACTACTCAAACCAAAACAATTTACCTTTCTTTTGCCGATGTTCACCAAAGCAGCCAGGTAACCAGCCAAATACACCCCACTCCAAACATCCGTAATAAACATACACACTGAATCTTTTACCAGATTCCACTTCACTTTCTTCTTATTCTGAAAAAGTAACGCTAACAACACAAGTCTATGTTGTGCGAACTGATTGCAGTTAAAAGTTTCTATTCATCCGTTCTTTGAAGACTATTTACTTTTTAATCAGGATTTCCCTCCTTAAGTATCTTATTTATGCCGTAACTCAGCGGTCCATTAAAAAAAAAAAAATCTGGCTCGTTTATCACAATTCTATCTCAGTTAGGGCTTTGAAGGTTATCAGCTCCGGGAAAAAATATATATATATCTTTTCCGTTCTAACCTCAACACAGCCCATTTCAAACCTCTACTCTACAATACAAGCGTATCAACAATAAAGTTATGACCTTGTTCGCATGACAACACGGACTTTGCGGAGTTCTTACCCATAGTACTAAGAAAAACACCCAAGGTTTAAGGCCGATGATGAAAGGCAGAATTCCCAAAAGACTTACGCTCCTCTCCAAGACGTGCAAGGAGCACTGGTGGGAGGAAGGGGCCTTCCTCGTGACAGATCGTCCGGAACAGCAGTAGCATCACCCCAAAGAGAAAGAATTCTAAAAGCAACTTCACGTTTCCGAAAACAGCCTCCCACTCAAGTCAGTGGCCCGGAGACTGAAGAATCGCCAGACACGTACACCCCTCGGGAAGGTGGAAAAGCAAACCCTACTCCCGACTTCATCCCTTAAAATAAATGGAGGAAGTTGGGTCCCCAGGAGCCCTTGGCGAGAGCGGCCGCGGCCCCTCGCGCCAGGTGTGCGTACCCCCGACGGACCCCACGGGTCGGCTCACCCTGGGCCCCAGGGCCCGCCACCCCTGCGTGGCCCGGGCGTCCTCCTCCGCCGAGCGCTCCCCCCGCGGCCGCGCGGGCGCCTGCTCGGACGCCGGCCAGGCTCGGAGCTCGGGGCTCCGCCAACCGCTCCCCGCGAAACAAGAAGGTGGCGGCCGGCGACGTTGCGGTTTCCCCGCCTCCTCCCGCGGCCTGCCCGCCTGCCCGCACGCCTTCCGGCCAACCCGGGTCGGTAGCCGTGCAGCCCTCTGCCTCCGGTCACCGGTTGGATGCCAGGCCTCAGTTCCTGAAGCTCCGGGGCGACTGCAGCGTTACCGGAGGGCCTGGGCGGATGGAGTGACGGAGAAGAGGTGGCCTGGGACTCGTGACTGGAACATTTAGGGAAAATTCTTACGGGGCCCTTCCCCACGGTGGCTGTGGACAGAGGGGTCCACCCAAAATAAAGGCATCCCCTGGGTTAGTTGCGGCGGAGCAGCCTAAACGTGGATGTTGGATAAGCTATTGTTCCCATCTCGTGGTGCAGGGTTGGTAAGACCTCTTTGGGTTGCCAATAGCCTCAAAGTGCTAACCTGCCTAGTTCTTTCTGACTTTGAAGGGCGACTGAATGTCAAGGATTGCAGAGTTGAGCAGGTTGGGGGAGGGACGTTGGAGAAGTGAAATAGGAGCGCGCCCAGAAGGGCCCTGATAGAGGGGTCAGGGAAATCAGATAGGTGGGAAAGATGAAATGCCAGAGGCAGAGACGATGGAAGTTTCACCTCACCCCTGAAGTGCTGACCAAGGATAAGAGACAAGGTGCTGAGTCAAGCTGGTCAGAAATTAGCTGGACCAAGTCTGGGATTCAGGTTTCCTTGAAGAGGTGGATGGAGCCCATTTCAGACACCTAATGTTGACCCCTGGACCAAAAATAGTTTTCCAGCCTGACTTTTCACCTAATTCCTGTTCATCCTTCAGATCTCAGTTTAAGTATCACTCTTTCAGAAAGACTTCTTAAACCCACGTGGCGCCTGTGCTGTGCTTAGTCGTTCCATCGTGTCCGACTCTGTGACCCCTGTGGACGGTAGCCCGCCAGGCTCCTCTATCCATACGGATTCTCCAGGCCAAAATACTAGAGTGGTTTGCCATGGGCTCCTCCAAGAGATCTTCCCAACCCAGGGATTGAACCCTGGTCTCGCGCATTGCAGGCGGGTTCTTTATCATCTGAGCCACCGGCGCCATTTTCTTTCAGATCCGTCTCTGACGGCTCACAGAACCGGAACCTTTCCTTCCTGGTGTTTTTACAGGGTAATTATGTAGGTCTTTGTGTAATTATTATATAAATAATTCATGTTACCTTTTTTCCTTAAAAATGTTTTTAAACCCACTAGACTGTAATGACTGACAGATGCCTGAAAAATTGTTGGCCTCCTATTTGTTTAGTGAGTAAAAGAATGAACAGTATCAGGCTAGAGTACCTTCTTATTCTGGCTTTCCACCATTGATTTCGTGGTCTCAGTTTGACTTAGTTTTGATACTGGCTTATTAGTCTTAGGCCTTGACTTCCACCTCAGAGTTTAACATTGTTCAACAGACATTTAAGTGAAGGGCTATGTGGGCTAGGAGCTTTAGGGGAATATATGAGTAGAATATAATACAGCCCTTCCTCCAAGGCACTTACCACCCACGAGAGGCACTGACATGCAAAACCAAGAAAAGCCATGCTACAATTACTGAAGTGTTCATTGTAGGGTTGGGTAGCTTTGCCTGCAAAGAGTCTAGATGCTGTCTTAGACTGGCCTAAACCACTCCTTGGTCTCAGCAGGCCAGATTACCAATTGGGCATCTTTCCTAAACTATACTCCCTAGTATTAATTCAATATTTGTTTAAAGGAAAGGCTGAATGGTAATGGGTAAAAAGCAAGTCTCTTTTTACTGTCATAAACAATTTAGCTCTGATCCAAATTTGTAAATCATACTCATCAAAAAGAAATCTCTGCACTTAGTTGGATATAACTTCTTTATAGTGTAGTATAATACATCCTTGGATGAGATTTGAGGAAGGAGGTAAGTACCAAAGTCTCACTGTTACTGTAGACCACATACCTAACTACCACGCCTGCCATGTATAGAACTGTTCCCCTAGAGGAATTCCATTTAACAATTTTCTCCTCATTACATTTTTAAGTGATTAAATATGATAACACTTTATGGATTGAGGTTCTAGGCAGTTACCTGGCTGAACCACCCCCTTTATCTAGCTCCAATTAAAAACATAAGTATTGTAATTAAAGTTTCCTGTGGTTCATATGGTAAAGCGTCTGTCTGCAATGCAGGAGACCCGGGTTTGATCCCTGGGTTGGGAAGATCCCCTGGAGAAGGGGATACAGCCCCCTCCAGTATTCTTGCCTGGAAAATCCCATGGACCACGGAGCCTGGTAGGCTACTGTCCATGGGGTCGCAAAGAGTCAGACATGACTGAGCGACTTCATTTCAAGTTTATACTACACAGACTCAAAAGTCTCACAAGTAGTTTTTCCACATATTAGCTGTCTTATGTATGGCAAAGTCTCAACTCAGTTTTTCTAATCTATTCCAGATCTCAGGATGTTGAAGAATTAAATGAGATCAGGAATTTTAGTATACTTTATAAACTTACCTTTGATAGGTGATAGTTTTTGTATTTAAACAGCTGATAAGCTTACACCAAAAAAAAAAATTAAGTACTTAAATATATATATGATATATTCCAGTACTTTAGAAAAGAATATTCTCTTTTCTAGTTGGATGATGCATGAGATACTGAATTTACTTTCCAAGCACCTGTCTTCTTAATCCTTTCCCTGCCTATCTGTAGACCCATCAGTCTCTTGATCTCAGTATCTCTCCTTTTGTTTCCACTGATTTCTTCCTTTTTCCCTGTATCCGTATTCAAGGCTCCTAGATAGTTCCAAGACACCTTTGTTGCTTTGTCAAGCGCACATCTATTTTAATCAGATTTCTTCACATCTTTTGCACTTTGCCTTAGCCTTTACTGAATAGTATCAAAAGAAAATGAACAATGAATTTATCTTTTATATTCCCATTTTTAACACAAAATTTGAAAGCATAACAATAAATATCTATACTTTCCAACTAGATTCAGCAATTATTAATATTTGAACAATTTTTATTAAGGTATAAATAACATAGGTAAACCCTCGTATCTTAAGTGAACTCTTCATCTAGTTTTGAAAAATGTTTATCAAGACACAGCACTTTCATCACCCCAGAAAATTCCCTTCTCCTTCTCAGTCAAACCTCCCACCAGAAATAATCAATGATCTGATTTCTAATAGTGTAGAGAGAATTTTAAAATGAGGCAAACTTCTTTATTTATTTTAAAATGCTGTTACAACCTCAGTGCCAAAACCAGACAAAAATTAATTCTCCTATCTAAATATAAGTAGATTTTACCCCAGTAATGCAAGGATGGTTTTACCCTAGCATATATGTTAGAGACTTGGTAACTTGGTACAACTCAACTGAGAACAAAATTCTGGATTTAGAAAATCATTAACAAGTTCCAAGAGTAAAGAGTTATATGGTCAAAATCGTAGAAGGCAATATTTCAGGCATTTAAACTGAACATTTATCCTGAGGAATTTGACAATCAAAAGTAAAATCTATAAACTTGGACTTCCCTGGTGGCTCAGTGGTGAATCCACCTGCCAATGCAGGAGACAAGAATAGTGGGTTAAATCCCTGTGTCAGGAAGATCCCTCGGAGACGGAAATGGCAACTCCCACTCCAGTATTCTTGCCTGGGAAATCCCATGGACAGAGGATCCTGGCGGCTGCAGTCCGTGGGACTAGAGTCAGATAGGACTTAGCAACTAAACAATGACAAACTGAGATATAACATCTGCAGAGTCCAATAAACAACCCCGATATTTAATACAAGACCCCACAGAGAAGAGATAAACCAGAAATGTCACCGTGTCCACAAATTTCGTTCAGTTTTTATACTAATCAGGAAATCTCACTCCTTGAATACTGAAAAACAGGTCCAGGATGGTACTCTACAGACACTGGGCAGAAACAAAAATTCTCTCCAGGTAAAGATCATATCACTCCAACCTCAAATTAACCTACAGACAATTTTCCAAGTTAAATGACCAACACGTAATCAAAAATCAGAAAAAGACTGCAATAAAAACATGCTTACACAAGTAAGTAAATTAACAAGCAAACCTTGAAAAATATTATAGATACTCTAGACTTGAGAAGTTAAAAACCTCAATGGGTAGGTTTAATAGTATATTACACACAATTTAAGAGAATAACTGGAACATGTTAGAATGCTAGAATGAAGGTAAGGGAAACAAAAAGATGGAAAATGTGTAAGAAAATGTTAGACATAAATTTGAGACAGAGAAGATAATGTTGAAAAAGTCTACCAAATATTTGATTGGAGTCCTCAAAGAGCAAAAAACCAAAATGAGGCGGAAGAAATATATGACAAGATAAAATTGGAGATTTTCACACTGAGTGAAAAAAGAACCACTGTGGGTAAAGGGTTAATAAAACCCTTTTCCTTTCCACATGAAAACTTGAACTTCAGTTAATTTTCTAGCTCTTTTCACCTGGAAACATAATAGAGGATTATGATAAAAATGACCTCTGATTAGTAAATTGCCTCTGGACCAGGAAGAACTATAAATGGTCTACATTTATAGACCTGATGGAGATACCATGTTAGGGACTTAATGAGTTCAGTTCACCAGCAAAATACACCAATTGTAAATGTGTATGACTTAAATGACATGTCCTTAATGTATCATTCAGAACTACAGTGAGAAGTAAACAAAAACCCACAAGTATAGTCAAGCATTTTA